AATTACATTGTTTGACATCGTCCATTTCATATTTATCGAAGTCAGTTATGATGTTATATCTATTTTAATGCAGTTATTCGAACCCTACATAAGTAGGTGCAATTTACAAACAATTGGCTGCTTCTTACATACAGTTAGGATATTAGAATCTAGGAATTTCAGAGATATGAAGTAAATAATTTATCAATAAAATTATACAGAATACTGGTTAATATTTTGATTCATTTCCAATTATAAACACTATTAATCATTGTGAGTGGAACAATAATCCTTCATTTTTTTAAGCATAAAAATCGTCCATCATATTTTGATGGGGTTTTGTTCTCTGAGCTGGATGGTTTGGTCGTGGAACTTTCATTGTTATTCTGAACGACATCATCAGCACAAATTTCAGGTAGAAGTGAAGTGTCCGAATTTCTCCACATATGGCTCACAGCTTGTCTTGTAGATCTCAATCTTGATTGGTTATTGTTGACACTTAACCTGTTATTGTTTACTTGTTTATTTTAATTGTATCTCCCATTGATTTGATTCTTGGTCTTATATTTATCTATAATTTTTCTAATTGGTTGATAAATTGAATCGATTTCAATGTGTTTGACCTTAGTGCCAAGCTTCTAAAAATTCCCTGGTGTTTTTAGAATTGCCTTGACTGAGAAAATATTGAGGTCTTGGATAGAAAAATTATGGACCTATATAAGACCAAGATTCAAATCAGTAGGAGATACAATTAAAATAAACAAGTAAACAATAACAGGTTAAGTGTCAACAATAACCAATCAAGATTGAGATCTACAAGACAAGCTGTGAGCCATATGTGAAGAAATTCGGACACTTCACTTCTACCTGAAATTTGTGCTGATGATGTCGTTCAGAATAACAATGAAAGTTCCACGACCAAACCATCCAGCTCAGAGAACAAAACTTCATCAAAATCATCCACCTGAGCAACAAATCTTTACCATCTAATGTTCACCATAAATTCAGCTTCAGATTTAGTGGTACCATTTACATCTAAAATGTTTCAAATATCAAAGAAAATCATCCTATAATGTTTTATTTTTTGTTATCTTATAACATTCAGACATTTTTTGATTCGATTTTTAGATTAAATTTATATTAACTTTCATATGTTAGCTACTACTGATCTAAGCGGTAATTTTTTGACATTACTTTTTACAACATGAAACATTGATAAATTATCACAGTTAACTATATATTAATACAGTAGATTCATCACCTTAAAGATATTCTTTCGGAAGCAACTTTCAACAAGAGTTGACATTCGCTATTGTACCACTGAAATTAAAAATAGCATTAAACAGCTGTTTTTCGTAAGGTTCCATCGACAACATTTCATGATGACTGCAAATCAGACATGTTATTAGTGTAGATTACCGTTCAAATAGATGAGACCAACAGTAATTTCTTGAACTGCGACCTTACTAAACTTTGAATGGGAAGGATTGTATCATTTACCCTGAGACTAGAGATACATTTTTTAGGCGAATCCTAACCAGTACAAAACATAAAATTTAGGGTTTTCCCAAACTAATTTCATAAAAATACAATTTCAAATAATTAAACAAACAACAAATTTTCTTCCTATGAGCATGATAACAGTGATCCATCAAGTCAGAATTTAATAAATAATCCGTCAAAAGTTACCCGATTTGTAATATGTTACGGTCTTCATACAACCTTATCAACAGCTTTGTATTAAAGAAATTTAGTTTTATAGAAAAAAAAACACAGAAAAGCTGTTTAGACATTTCCTCTTCGTATAACATAACAATAAATAAACAAACGAATGATTTTAATCTCTTTTTATCTTGATTTTTATTCATCAATATTTCATTATTACGTCTGACTAAGCATGAAAAGCATGTTATATATAAGCTTTATTTTAGCCCATCTAGTCGATTCTGGTCGTCATCAAGATAAAACTTAAGCATTTAAGGTTACCTATTAAATCCCACCGAATTTACCCCGTAGTTCTATAATCCGACCCTTACATATAGTAAAAGACATAAAAATACACATTAAAAAACCTATTTTTTGTATAAAGAAAAATTTAATACCTTTGCCTTTTATTAGGATACTATCACATCTGCAAGCACTGGGAGGCCATTTCGTCCTGTTGTGGGACACCTCAGCAGTGTGCATCCACGATCCCGCTCACGAGATTCGAGGTTGAGGTTAGACATTAACAACGTTGGGTGCCCACTCGGTGGTATAGAGGCTAAGCGTTCGCGCGCGAGACTGAAAGCCCTGGGTTCAAATCCCGCGATCGGGATCATGGATACGCACTGCTGATGAGTCTTATAATAGAAAGAAACGGCTGTCCAATGTTTCCGGGTTACCAGTGGTGTTCCAGTTAATGATCTCAATAAAAAATATTTCTTCGCTCAACTAGTCACTTTAATGTTTCAATGGGAACATTTTATTAATGTATATATCCCAGAAAGAGCAGAAGTTCTAAATAGAATAATATTATCTCTAAATGTTTATTAGTAGTTTTACCTGGAATTCCATTTGATTTGATAATTCATATTTTGACACTAATGACTTTAAAAGTTAAAAGCAAACAAAACTGAAGTTAGATCTTTGTTGAATACTCAATCGCTAAACTGTCGTTATCATTAATATTACCTGTCACTTAGTTTTTATTTTTACTTTTACATTCGAAACTTGAATCCATTTCTCTTTTATTTTTTCATCAATATCTAATTTTAAACTATAAACAAATGGATGCGCTCTGCTGAGGAGTCCCATACTAGGACAAAACGGCCACCTAGTGCTTCTACGTTTTCCATGGTGGTCAAGCTTTAATTGACTCATAAATTCAACTATTAAATTTTTTCGTCACTTAGAAAAAGTGTCTTCAGCAATCTATGAAACAAAATTCTGTGTTTTACTTTTGTTCATTAGTACTTACAAACAATAGAAAGAACGAATTGAAGTTTTAAAGAGTTATCAACATTGATTTTAATTAATATTGAATACATTTAGCGTCTTTTGCAGTGGAGCAGACTTAAAACCGATAGAAAACTTTAAAATTTATTTTCCAATGCATTAATTTTATTTATTTACAATCAATACAGTTCCTCGGAGGAATAAATAAAATATATTTGAATACACCATATAATTATGTAATATACAAGTAAACTGATTTATATCTTTGAGTCCAAAGAGGCTGTTCTTAATTCTCTTGTCTAGTTTTTAAACGCTGATTTATGTATTTCGTTTTTATTCATAACCTTTCAGTGACTTAGCGTTAGTTATTCTCGAATAGTCTGTCGGGAATCATTGATAATTTACCTGTAAATGTAATATAACCGTATTTATTTATTGAACTACATTGTAAAAAAAACTGTTAAACCATTCTCAAAATGTACACATATGCGAAATAATCAAAGCATTTTATCAATAGATGATCACAACACAAAGAACACATGGAATCGTGATTTGGGAGCGGACATTAAGACCATGAATAGCACATGTCAATCACTGGTATGAAAAGCCCAGGACGAAGTTGGTTAGAAATTCCCAATCAGAGGCCTATTTCTCAAGATGGGTAGTAGAATTAAGTAAGTGTATATGCGTGTATATGTACAACAATTATACAGTAGTAAATGACATTATAGTATCGTGTTCGATCAACTAACATTAAGGTTCTCTGTATTTAATTTCAGGTAGTTGAGGACAACTGATAACAAGCCTTTGGATCTTAGTTTGGTCAGGAACTGGAACATCAACGTATGACAGTTTAAAGAAAAAATAATTACCTTTATGACATTCGAATCTACATCATCTGCTGTCACAGGCAATGACGTCAGCAGTAGATTATATCTGGCGTAACCGATGCCATGTATGACTAAAACATTCAAGCTGATTTACGTTACAGTAGCAGTCCTAGTCATATTTTCCACTTCTTAAGGCTACTCGAATTCTATCAATCAAGTTATAATGATTCACAAGTCTTACTGGAAAACTCCAATAGGCATACAATTTCAGTTCAGTACTTCATATATATATATATATATATATATATATATATATATATATATATATATATATATATATATATATATATATATATATATATATATATATATATATTGTTTATTCAGTAAAATTGCCACATGTCTAAAAGAATACTTAAGTAACTATCCAATTTGATATTGATACAATCTGTAGGACAAATGAGTCGAAAAAACAATATTTGAAGAAAAGTATTTCATTCCCTACGAATTGTTTACTTTCTTAAAACGTAGTCAACTGATAAGAAAAGAGTAAACAAATTAAATGAGTAAATGTTTTTATGTGCTATATAAAGCTATTTATACATACTAAACAGCAGGTA